ACACAATAGTGATTTCAATTTAGAGCATTCTATACTTTATTATAATGCCTATGTGGCTGTTAAAACCAATTTAAATTTAGAGAATATCCAATGGAACATTCTTAATGTTGTGTTGTATAGTATGGAGAAAATGAAATTAAAAAATTGTGTCTTCAGAGGGGAAGAATGTCTTTTTTAGGCCAATAGTTAATGTTAATCATAATATTATTTGTGATGTGTAAAATTGTAATTAATTGCAGAAGAGAGATGAATTGAATAAATTATAGAATATATAATAGGATGGTTCTACGTCTAGAAAGTTTCTAGGTATTTTTTTCATATCACATAAGATAATTTCTATCATGTGACATTCAAACAGAGCAATGAAAATACCATTTGAAGGGTGGTTATAAAATAAGGCGGTATGTGGGTAGAGTAGAATAGGTTGTTTAGAAATGTAATTTTAAGAAGGTATAAAATAAGAGTATAAAATCACTTATTAAATAGCTATTATTTATATTACATCTCATAAATAATACATCTCATAAATATGCTTTATATTATTCATACATATTACATCTCTCGCCTGTTTTGCTTTATATGCTCGACACACCTGCATGGACACGACGTTAGCGGAATGGACGGTTACATAGAGGTTGGTGGGAAGGCTGACACAATCTCGTGTCACACCACTATGAACATCATAAGGCCTTAAATGTTGTCTTTAGGTGTTTTTTTTTGTTAATAAACTTAAAAAAGTAATAATGTAATTGGCAATAATAAAAACAATTAAATTTAATATAAAAATATAGCTAAATTTTATAAATATATTTGAGAAATTTCTTAATAATCACACATGAAACAAGAGAAAATTATTTTCATTCAAAAAAAAAAAAATAAAAAATTATTTTCATTAAAAAAAAAAAAATAATAAGCAGTCAAAGCTCTAAATTTTCATTTACTTTGTATATATAACTTAAGTTTAGTGAAGTACATAATACTCCGTTATAGTTGTATAGATTTTTTTTTATTGAAAAACATTAATTTTTATTTTATATTTAATCAAGATAAATAACAAATCTAAATTGAAACTCGCCTGAAAATTAGTTGACATCAATTAACTCTTTTATTAGCTACCACTAACATAATTGAATTTTGCAATCATAAAATAACAGTTTGTATATTCAAGCAAGAAGAAAAAATTAATAATTTGATTTAAGTGATGTCAAATTAGAAGGTGAATAAAATATTAATAATTTAATTTTTATTTCATATTTAATAAGAACAAGAGAAAATATGCAAAAAAAAAAAAAAAACGCTAATAATAACTACTATTTAATTTTGTCATGAAATTAGAAGGTGAATAAAATATAAAAGCCTTGTTTAAAGAATAAAAAAAAAATAGATTTTAAGATTAATTTTATATCTAATATTTTTTTTATACAATAAATATATATGCATATATTAAATAAATATGTAAAAACGGGCCCTGTGGTAAGAGGGGGCCCTGGGCGGTCGCCCGGCCCGCCCTACCCCAGGTCCGACCTTGATATCGATGCAACTTTTTTCCCCACATTGTTCTTTTTTCATTAATCTATTCGACCTCCGTTGAACTAGACTGTAAATGGAATTTTTTTTCTTAAACGCGTTGGAAAAACCTAATGATTCTTGTTTTAAAATTTTATGTGCTTTGGGTTAGTGCTAAATAC